ACGTTCGAGGAGGCGCACGTGTTCTAGCTCACGACGTGAATGAGCAACAGCTTGGGCTGTGAAAGCGCCCACGATGTCGTCACGTACTACAACAACTTGATCGAGCGGGCCTCGGTGGTCGTCTTGCCACCGGCACGAAAACCACCGTGTTTAGGTTGTGTCGATGCCAACGTTGTGGGAATTTTGCTGGTCCTAAACGGTAGCGTGTAGGTTCTTTTTTCTCTTGGCGTCGCAAGTGAACCATCGTGGCATCGTGGCGTACCTGACTGTGTTGGTCTGCGGGATGTTGTGGGTGTCGGGAAGCCTTCGACGACCTCTTTGTGCCTCGAAACGCCATGGCTATCGATGTTCCGCGTGACCATGCGGTATTTGATCCCGTCGACGTCTCTGTCTGTCGACCACACTCGTGACCGCTTCAGCGACTTGTGTTCATTGTCACATTGGTCTCGTGGTCGACAGCATCCTCACCATGTAATACCTTGTGACAGAATATTCATGGCTCAGCCGTCCGTGACGATGCGCCAAACAGAGCGTGTTATGATTGTCGGCGATGGACGCTCTGCGCTTGTACACATGCCTCACCCTTGGCCAAGCAGGAGGTCACCAGCATCACGATCGTCAAAGCAAGCCACCAAAGTGCGCGCAATGTTGCGCATAAACAATGACGTCGCCCCCAAGAGATGGGCACCGCCTTCGGCCTGGGCCTATTCTGGACCTTGTCGATGAGCCTGACCCATCCAACACCGTGTTGGACTTTTCGTTTCAAAAGCAGGGGTACGTAGCCATCATGCAGCAGTCGATGGGTGCCAACGACGCCGATCCCAACGTCTCCGAACTCGACTTCCCCACTACGTATTTGGTCCGGTCCATTCAAAAGCGGTACCCCCCGCCAGTGCTGCAACCTCGAAAAACACATTCCACGCGTTCAAGCCCTCGTCATGGACCAAGCCCAGCGGATAAAATTGCCCTGCTCCGGTTCACCGTTGACGTGTACGCCATTGGGCTGTCTCCTTAGTCGAACGACTGGCGAGCCATTGACATGACCGCCGCCATGGAGTGTTCCTCGCACGGAACAACTGGTCGACCCTTGTTATGTAGGATAGGCGCTTTTCCGAGTTACAGAGCAAGGCCACGGTGTGCTCGACACATTCCCTGCTTTCAATATGCAGGAATGGTCGCACCTCGATGCACATCACGACGGCCCAGTCGCGACAGTTTGCCTGTCAAGTCGTTGTTCCAAAGCCTCTAGATCCATTTGACTAACAAGTTCGGCCGTCACATCACTTCGAATGTTCAGCGTGACAGTGGTGTCGCGCGGGGCTTCAAAACACCATAGTGTCCTCCGCGACGCACGCCTTCCGCAACGCGTCGACTGGGGCAGCCTGACCGTCGGGCGGCGCCAAGCCCGCGTGGTGCACCAGTATCGAAACAACCCCGTCAAGGACGTCAACGTCACCTTGGACGGCAGCTCTTTGCACGCGACCTTGCGCAGGGGATGATCGACCCTGCCGTGCGGATCCAGGTTTGGCAAGTTCTCTTGGGCTTGGTCGACTCGATGTTGCAACACGAGAAAACGCATTGCATCCATGCGACACGTGCACGCCATCCACCCATCGGCATAGTCCACTCGCGATGAGGTACGACTCGTCAGCACGTCCGGGCGTGTAGAGATTTTGTGTGGCTGCCCTCATGCCTGACACGAAACCAACCTGGTTGTTGCCACCACCTTGCCAATCGCTGTGGAAGTGGCTTGAATGATGTTTGTGCTCTTTCCCGATCGAGTCCAGGTCACACGAATCGCAAGGCGTGACGATAATTGGTGCCCTCGTCGCCGCGCGCAACGACGGCTGGTTTTCCGACGAGGATCTTGACGTGTGCAAGCATCCTGCGCACCCATGGCCGCGAGCGTAGACGGTTCATGATGGATGGGCACAACCTAAATGGGACATGACGTGCACAAACCTGGCAAAATGCGCTGAAAACATGAGTAGGTTGTATGGACAACCATCGAGCGGTCGGCGCCAATTGTAAAGGATCCGAACACGTCAGTTGCAAGCACTGGCTGGCCGACGAGAGCGTGAGTCGGCGTGGTAGGTTGGGCAAGCGACCGATCGGTTCCCTCGCCTTTTGTCGAAGATGTTCCCTGTGTGTGGCGGGCAAGGGGGTGCAGTGCGTAGCATGGGTGTCAACTCGACACC